ATCTAAATGCTGATTCGTAAATCACTTGATTAGATAAGACGCAGTTTAAGCAGGAGTATAAAGGCAGTGTGTAGTTATGGTAAAGCTCAAAACGTAAACGCAATCTGCAATATGATGATCATACGAAAAAGCAGATTTACGTCTAAACGCAGATTTACGTCTGAACCTTGAAACTTGTTCGCAAAATTGCAGAGGGCAGTAAGCTATTGAGAAGTTTTCAGTGAAGGTAAAATGCTCAAAGGAAATGCAAACCGAGATTTAGAGTGGTTCGGTCAATCTTGACCTACTCCACTTTTGGCTTCCTCCACCGACGAGGTCACCGACGTCAACTAGAGGCCTTCCTTCAATAGGCGAAGGCCAACCACCCTCTTACAGATTCACTCCTTTTGACGGGCTTAGGAGACAACCCTTACAGAAGTTTTCTCTCCTCTCTTTACAACTCAAACTTTGAAGAACAGAAAGAGGAGAACTAGCAGTTTTGAGCTCTAAGAACCAAAGAAAGACAACAAGATTTCGAGTGTGTGTTCTGTGCTTTCAGTGCTGAATGGGTGGGGTATTTATAGGCCCCAACCCAGTTCAAATTTGGAGCTCAAATCTGTCAATTCCCAGAATTCCGGGATCAGGCGGTTGCACCTCCTAACTAGGGCGGTTGCACCGCCTGGCAGAGCTTGAAGACTGAGCCTCTGGGCGGTGCCACCTTTGTCAGGGGCGGTTGCACCTCTCTGCTAGAGCTCGAAGATTGAGCTCAGGCGGTTGCACCGCCTGACTAGGGAGGTTGCACCGCCTGGCAGAGCTTGAAACTTGAGCTCAAGCGGTGCCACCTCTTGTCAGGAGAGGTTGCACCGCCCAGTCTCGCTCGGAGATTGAGCCCAGGCGGTTGCACCTCCTGGCTGGGGCGGTTGCACCGCCCAGTCTCGCTTGGAGACTGCCTCCTGGGCGGTGCTACCTCCTAGCACTATTTCAGGTCCGAATGGGTTGATCCATTCGGCCTAATTTGGGTCTTTCAGGGGCCCGATTGCCCCAAGATTAAGTTAATGGGATCACCTCCCATTTCTAACTTAATCAATGTGCTAACTACGATTATTTCCTAAGACATATTCTGCAGCTTGCTCCGGTACGTCAATCGCTTCTTCCGGCGAGTTTCCGACGAACTTCCGTCGATCATCCGACGAACCCTCGGTGATCCTCCTGCGGACTTCCGGCAAACTCCTGGACTTTGCGATGATCCACTTGGAAAGTTCCGACGAGCTCCTTTGGCAAGCTTCTGGACTTCTCGGATTTGTTCTCGCAGAACCTCCGACGACTGTCCGAACTTCCGTCGAGCTCTCGAACTCCCAAAGTGATCATTGTCTTGACTCCGGCGCAACTCCTGCTGCATGTCTTTCTTCCATCATAGTTAATCCTGCACACTCAAAACAAAAACTTCGATCGAGACAATTAATCCTAAGCAATTAACCAAGTTGTCCGGCATGTCATTGGTCCCTCGACGTTTCGTCCGATTTTTCGGCGCATCATCCTTTCCTGCGGCCTATTGCCCAATCGGCCAGTTGGCTCCGCAACTCCGATATCCTTGGCACAATACCCGCTCTTCTTGGCCTGATGCCCGAGTCCACGGCCCGAAGCCTTCTGTCGATACGTCAACCGATCCACCGGCCCGACGTCCAATCTTCTGACATGTTCCTCCGGCACAACATGATTTTCCTACTTTAATTGTCTCATCCTGATCGAGGCATCCTGCGTCACTCAAAACGCAGATTAAATCATAAACATATATCAAGTAGTTTCATCATCAAAATACGAGATTCAACATAGAGTGCCTTACTCGTCTGCAGTAGGCAGTTTGATGTATGCTATAGTTTGTATTATGCCAAATATAGCTCATGCAGTTGGAGTTGTCAACCTATTTCTGTCTAATCATAGAAAGAAAAATTGGACAGCAGTGAAATGAATATTAAGATATCTAAGAGGTACTTCTAGGTTATGTTTATGTTTTGGCAATGATGAACCTGTGTTAGAAGGCTACACAGATGCAAACATGGCAGGTGATATTGATTTCAGGAAGTCCACTTCGGGGTTCTTGATGACATTTGTAGGGGGAGCAATCTCTTAGCAATCAAAGTTACAAAATTGTGTTGCTCTATCAACCACAAAAGCATAATACATAGTAATTATTGAAGCATGCACGGAAGCTTTATGGATGAAAAAGTTTATATAGGAATTGAGCTTGAAACAAAAATGATATACTATTTACTGTGATAGTCAGAGCGTCATTCAACTCTTCAATAATTCAACATATCATTCTAGATCTAAGCATATTGATGTGAGATATCACTGGATTCGTGATGTGTTTGAGATGAAAGAATTATAGTTGGAAAAAGTGCATACCAATGAGAATGATTCAGATATGTTGACAAAGTCTTTACCTAAGGAGAAGCTTAAAGCATGTAGACGAAGAGCGGGCTTGGTACAGTCCACTATATGAGTTGGAGGGAGAGAATTATTGGGTCCAGCCCATATGTGGACTTGGATAATTGGGCCTTTGAAGCCCAAATTAATAATTAAATAGAAAGCAGCGAACAAGGGCAATCGGTGCAACGAGATTGCGTAGTGAGTGGTGATGACGCAAAGAGCGAAAAAGGAGAGAGGGCAGCGTGCGTGCAGAGAACGACGACGACGCACAACGCATAGCGAGAGGAGAGAGAGAGAAAGATTAGTATCTTGAGTTTTTTGCTTGACGATTAATAGCCAAATATTATCAGTTTTGGCTCAAATTTTATGCAGAGAATCCTTGCAGCAAGCTCTACAATCCTAACGGTTGATCTGCAGTTTACCATCTCTGAGGTACTTTCCTATTATACCTATTTTGTGTGATCTAGAATTCTTTTTGATGAGATCCATCCTATGTGATGATGATATGCTATTCTTGAGCCAAGATCTATGTTCTTGATGTTGTTATGATCCTCTAGTTATTCTAAAGAAGATTTACTGTAAACCTGTTATCATTACTATTGATAGTGGAAGTTTGAGTTGGATTATGGTCCCGTGATTTTTTTCACATTGAGTTTTTTATATTAAAAATTTGGTCTCACTGTATGATTGATTTATTGCTCTATTGTTTATGCTGTGCTGATTGATATTTGCATTTTGATATCAAGTTGGTATTTTGATGAAGAAGGAAAAAGAATTATTTTGTTTTAACATATTTTTCCAAACAAAAAATTCAAAACTATACAACATGATATCCATATTCTGTCTCTACCTTTCTATTCTTATTTTCTCAAAAAATAATCAATTTTCTTATTTTATTTCCTTCGCTACACAATCTCATATTAAGTATGAACACGAGAGGTAACACTGATCTAATTAGTAGGAACGTAACCTAACATAATTAGATGCTTGTTTTCAAGAGCAATCCTCACAAGCATCTAATTAATGTTAATTAAAATAACATCATCTCATGATAAGATCTTGAAAACAAGAAAACGTTCTATTTACTTTCAGAATATTGGGAAACAAGAAAATGTTTCGCATAAAATACAAAACCCAAATACTGGAAAAGAGAATGTGCCGAATAAGAAGACATTATCATATTGTCGCCAAAAATGATGCCATTCAATTTAAACATTTTGTTGCAGGCAGCTAAAACATAAAACAGAAACACATCGATTTAGCTCAAAAACACACGTTGAGGAGACAAACCTGTTGATGATCCATCAGATCGGACCGCACCCTTTCCTGAAGTATCTGAAAAAACGAGGCTTCAGTAACCCATGATTTAGCCCTTTGAACGAATACCTTCCTATGATTAGAAGAACACAGCCTCTTTGGTGGCCCTACAAGTTAACCCCACATTTTGTCCAATCATAAGTTGGGTATTCGGAAGAGTTTCCGTAAGTTTAATGGTTGAAATTACACCTATGGCATTCCTACAGAAGCTTCTAGGCTTTCTTCCAACCCACGTCTCTCTCTCTCTCTCTCAAACCCTCGCAACTCCTCCGTTAAATCTAGCTCTCTGTTTCCTGCTCCTCTTTCCCTCTCTCTCCCTCCAACGTGACGCCGCCGCCATGGCCGTGATCTCTGAGGTCGAGGAAGAGGCGCAAGAGCAGCAAAACCCCTCTTCCTCTTCTCCGCCCCCCGCTCCGCAGGCGGATCCCGATGAGGAGTCCTTGGCCTCGGTGCTCGCCAAAAAGGGGCCGATGCCCTTCCTCGAGGCTGCCATCGACCTCGTTAGACGGCAGTCAGATTTCTTCACAGATGAGGCGGCGGTGACAAAGGTCGTACGAGCGGTGACCGCCGCCAAGGAGAAGGTCGACGCCGAGGAGAGGCTGAAGAAAAGGGCGGCAGATGAGGCTGCCAAGGCCGAGAAGCGGCTCAAGGAGGCGGCACAGAAGGCCGCTGAGAAGACGGAGGCCAAGGATCAGAAGACGGAGGCCGCTGCGGCGGCCAAGGATGAGGAGAAGGAGGGTGTCCGGAGTAAGCTTTCTTCTTCCTTTTGAGATCATTATTTCCGTAACATTTAGCTCTGTAGTACTTGTCCGGTAATAAGTTTGAAACTATGATGTCGATTCTGAAGAGTTTGCCTGCTTTCCTGTGCACATGCCCAAGATTTAACCTGAAACATGAGTAATAGGTCCTGGATCATGCGAATGACTAGAAAAGGAACAGACTATGACTATTTGTGGTTCTTCTGAAGATGCAAAATTTGATTTTTAGGAGGGATCCTTGTATATTTGGATGCTTTGAATGGAACAGCAAATCAGATACCTCGTGGGGACGTGCATTGATTGTGCTTGTTTCTTTAATTTTTATGGTGGTCTTAGGTCCGGCAAAGTGGGAAATTCTTTAGATGACGAATGCTCGGAACATGTTTAATGTTTTGATCGATGGGAAAAGGCAAGGGTTTATCTTTTTCTTTAGGGGGGCTAAAATGTCTAATATTTTTAACATGTATGAGCTATAGTCGTATTGTTCTACAAGTTGTTACATATGACAATAACTTTTTATGATTATCAATCTGGAACAGCAGAATCTGTCACATTACTACAGTGGGAAATTCTATGGATAATTGAATAGAACAGCAAAATGTGAAATTCTATATATGATGGATACTCAGAATATGTTTAATATTTAAATTGACTGAAAGGCCAAGGGTTCCTCTAATACTAGTTGTTAATTCAGTTTTGAATATCTGAATTATTTAAAAGGTAGTTCCCATCAAGCAAGACTCAGGAACGAGAGAAAATTAAACCGGCAATCCTACAGTATTCCATGTCAACTAAATCTCTGTTGATTAAACAACACCATTACAAAAATAACTTAAGACCACAAGAGAGGAGGATACATCATAACGTGATATAGAACAGTACACTGAGCTTCATTACATGTATAACAATGGAAAAATTAATCAATACACCAAATAGAGATTACAAAAGAGCAGACAGCAAAATTTAATGGGCTGTAGTAGAGAGCAGGAGGGGATATTCTAAAAGGCCAAGGGTGTTTTGGCAATATTGTTAGAACTGGTAAACGCCATTTTCTTTCCTTCCTTGAGAATTAAATGATAAACACTTGTTTTCTTTATATGTAGCAGTCTTTAATTCTTGATGTCTTTGGTTAAGTTCTTGTATGTTTTTAAGTTTTTACTTGGGAAAAAATATTTTCCTTATTCTGTTCCTCATTTTGCAGAGCCAAATTCTGGAAATGGTCTGGACTTAGATAATTATTCTTGGACACAAACACTTCAAGAGGTCACCGTGAGCATTCCAGTTCCTCAGGGGACAAAATCAAGGTTTGTTACTTGCGAGATAAAGAAGACTCATCTGAAGGTTGGCTTAAGGGGACAACCTCTAATTATCGATGTAAGTGTCTATGTAACGGGTCATTTTTCTAGGCAATGCTACATTGAGAAATTGTTCTTGGATTATTTGCTGGTACGCTCTTCTCTTCTTGGAGCGCTTACATTTTTATTGCTAACACCTTTCCAGGGGGATCTTTATCAACCAGTGAAAGCAGAAGATTGTTTTTGGAGCATAGGTATGTTTTTGTGACTACCTTTGGTGCAAATTATGTTATTGCTTTTAGAGCTTACTAGTAAATTCCATTGGCACACAGAGGATGGAAAATTCATTTCTGTACTTTTGACCAAGCAAAATCAGATGGAATGGTGGAAATGTGTGGTAAAGGGTGACCCTGAAATTGATACGCAGAAAGTAGAACCTGAGAATAGCAAGTTATCTGATCTGGATCCTGAAACTCGGCAAACTGTAGAGAAAATGATGGTAAATTACTCATTTGTGAAGAAAACCATTATGTTTGTTATCTGGTTTTGTCTTGGATCGTTTTAGTATTTTTGTTTGTGGTGCAATCGTTAAAAACTATTCTTTCTTGTGGTTGGACAACAGGTATTTTATGATTTCTGTCTACATTTCTGTCAGAAATTATTTTTCAACCTGCATAATGTTCATTTTGCTGAATGGAACTTGTATCATGCCTGAGCCATCTGTGACATTGTTTTGGAGTGTTTCAGTACCCGGTATAAGTTGTATCATGCCTGAGCCATTTATCTATCATGCCTGAGCCATCTGTGACATTGATTGGCTAAATTTGCTTGAATTACTGGAGTGGTTCAACTCCATTCTAAATGAATTGGTTGACATTATGAGCGCTGATACCTCATGAGCTTACTGTAATTTTGCTTTACTAAAAAAATTAGTCTTCTTTTCATTTGAATTTTGCAATCTAGTATCTCAAAAACTTTTGCTTTTAAACCATTTCTTCACCTTCTATGATCTCCCTGATATGTGATAGATAAATGGATCTTTTTAAACCATAGAAATCAATATTTTTTTCCTAATTATAATATTTGGGTATTGCATGAGCTCTGACTTCGCAGGAGACTGTTGCATTCAGCTTGCTTTAACGAAATAATATGTTCTTTTTTCTTTCCTAAAATAATTGCTGCAATATAATTATCACAAAGTTTGCTAAACTTGCACTTTGTTTTATCAGGTTTATCCCTGATATATCTTAATAGTTCTTTTTTTTTAACATGAGTTGGATTTAGTGTTATGTTATACTTTTATGTTGTCTGGAGCTAGCTTGATTTTTTTCTTTTTTTACAGTTTGACCAGCGACAGAAATCCATGGGTCTTCCAACAAGTGATGAGATGCAGAAGCAGGAAATTCTCAAAAAGTTCATGGCCCAGGTGAATAAGCTTCTCTAATTTCTTAACATCTTTGCAGGATTCAGCGTTTACCAACCTGTTTGTTTTTGAGTCTCATAGAATTTCTGATTTTTTGCTTGTGCAGCACCCAGAGATGGACTTTTCAAGGGCAAAACTAGGCTAAGATTTCCTTTTTCTGCTTGCAAATAAGTTATAAATGCAGCAGCTCTTCAAGCTCAAGGATACCTGATAATGGAATTAGGAAAATCATGCTCTTAAGCAGTTGTCAGTTTGGCAGATTGGTTGAAGATCCTTTTGCAGCCCTCCTTTTCTGTTCCTTGTTTTCCTTAGTAGTGCTTAGTAGTACAATCATCTGCCATGTTTTGTGAACTTGAGGGACTAATTGATCTCTTGGTAACGGAAAAAGCCGTGATGTTTGCAACTGAAACTTGCATCTATGTTTTGCTTGTGGAGGTATTACTTTTCATGGTTGGGACCTTGTTGCCTTTGTGACATTGTGGTACTTTGGGCGTTTATGCCGCTTGCTATGAAGTTGTTTATGTCAACGAGCCAATTGCAAATATGTTTTGGTTGTTCTCTTATGCTAGGAACTCAATCTGTCTCAGACTAATGAATGGTAACATGTCTACTGTTCCCTGGACAACTAATTGGTAAATTGCTGCTATGTTGCTTATTTTCCTTGGCATTTTGACTATGCTTGCTCCTCTAAAGTGCTTTCTTGCTCTTTGACTTCATGTTTGCTGCTGCAGTTATATATTGGAAACATCTTTTCATGAATACGTTTTGAGGCAGGTGGCAATGTTAGACATTTGTTACAGACTTGCAACTTTGATTATGTTTAGTAGATGACTTTGCCGCCATCTTTACATGAGAGAATGGTCTGTAGCTGGTTAAATGTTGACGTTTTTTGGCCTTTTACTCTTGTAATTGTCAACCAACAGCTTGTTTCCCGAGTTTCTCTAGTCATAGTAGTAGCTTAGATACTAGAAATTCTCATTAGATTGATGTTGATGTGTGCTTCCATCATCTTTGTTCTTTATGTTTGGAAACAGAATGTAGAGTATGGTTTTATCTGTGTGTTTTTGATTTTAAGAAGGTAAATAACAGATTTCGTCATGAGAAGCCATTGCAACTGCAGAGAGCAGTCAGATCCAAAAATAAGTAAATAAATACAATAAAATGATTTATTTCTTGGATTATGATGGGGAATACCGACTTTATCTCTTGGATTAATATTAATTGTATGTAACAGCCCATAAAGGATGCTTCTGCTACGATAAACAAAGCTATCTTATAAGATATCGTATTGCGCCTGTCATGTGATATTTTATTTCCCTTGAGACTAAGCTGTCGACTGTTCTTTCATAGTTTGCACACAAAGTCAAGCAACATGCTGCATTTGAAAGAGATGTGTCGGTTAGCTGGTAGATATTCGTGCTGGAATGGGCATGGACCGCTAACACAACGCAACGCTGCAAATGGGTGCAAATTCTTGGATCTAAATCCATTAAACGACGGATCCTTGGTTCGTCGTATACCAGTATCTTCGACCCGAATCCAAACTTTCCAGTTTGAGATTTCTCGACCATTGACTTAGTATCGATGTTTGTTATCCTCTCACTTTTACCCAGGAAATAGAACGGGTCCGGGTTTGGACACATATGATCCTGATTCTGTGGGAGACCGCCTCGTGATTTGCGTGATGGGTACGGGATTGCGGGACACGTCAATCTCCCACTTAGGCACCAGTTGATTCGGACACCTAACTGCCCGTTACCATTACCATCACCTCTCCCTCTCCCTGTGTCAGCCGACACGGCGGACCCGCTGTTTTGCCTGGTCTTGGATGGCTGCGTTGGCAGCCCACTGCACTTCGCCGCCGACGCAGCCTCCCCAGAAGGCGACCGCAGTTCACCCGACAACGGCCACACATTTCCCGTTGGCCAATCAAACAGGAGAACCATGGTGGGACCCACTCCTGCCTTTTAAATACCCCGTCACGTCACCGGAGAGAAGAAGACGTGGACGAGTGTTTCTTCGCGTATTCAAAGAAGAGGTTGCGCCGGCGCCGGCGCCGCTGCCACGGATGGCCCTCTCCGCCGCCGTCGACACTTCATTCCTCCTCTCCGCCGCCGCTGACCGACAATCCTGCAAATCCGGCGCCCGCCCTCGTCCCGGGAAGCAGGCGTCATCCTTCTCCCCTTCCTTCCTCCGCAGCGTCGCACCTCGCTTCGCTGGCCTCTCCTCCGCTCTCATCCTGCGGTTCCCCCCCCCCAACTTCGTGCGCCAGCTGAGCACCAAGGCGCGCCGGAATTGCTGCAACATCGGCGTCGCTCAGATCGTGGCGGCCTCGTGGTCGAACAGCTCGCCAGCGTTCGAGACCCCCCGGTCCGCGGCCTCCGAGGACGCCGCCGTCGCGGCGGAGGACGCGACCCTCGTTAGTGGTGGTGCGTCCCAGAGCACGCCTGTAGAGTCACCGTTTCCGTTGACGGGGGAAGCGAAGGCCTCCGCTGCCGTCGCAAAGGCTGCAGCGTCGCTCAACTCCGATGGGAGCCTCGCGGTCCACGCTGGTGATTGATCTCTCTCATCTTACTCTTTGACGTGTTATCTCTTCCACTTCCTTTCACGATCTAAGGTTTTGATGGTAGAAATCGGCCTTCTCCCCCCCTCCCCCCCAAATTCGTGAGATCTCGGCCAATTATTCAGATTATTTGCCCGCCCAAATATATGTTCATATTGGGATCTGAGATTATTGCATGCGTTGCTTCAAAGACATTGTGAGAGATTTGGACGGGCAAATAACACATTGGGGTCCGATAGGTGAGAGATTTGGACGCCGTACAGCCACAGATGCCATTACCACTCCGGTCGTTAACACATCGGCTTACTGGTTCAACAACTCAGATGAGCTGATTGATTTCAAGGTATCTGATCGATTCGATAACTATCAATTGCAATAACTTCTCTTCCGGTTTTTTTGGTGATATGTAAGGTCTTAATTCTTGTAAGTAATTTGCAGGAAAAGAGACATGCTAGCTTTGAGTACGGTAGATACGGCAACCCAACAACACAGGCTTTGGAGGAGAAGATGAGGTGCCTGTTGCTTGTGCTTGATGGATATGTGGGATCTGCTGAAATATACTCTATGCTGATGCTAATTCTTTTGCTGGAGCAGTGCCCTGGAAAGAGCCGAATCCACTTTGTTTGTGTCATCTGGCATGTATGCCAGTGTGGCTAGCTATGCTGTTGGCTCTGGTCCCTTCTGGTGGGCACATTGTGACCACCACAGACTGTCATAGGAAGACTAGAATCTTCATCCAAAATGAGCTTCCAAAAATGGGAATTTCGGTAATCCTCCAAGTCTCTCGTCACATATGAAGACTGCTTTATCTTGGTTGACTGGCCGGGAGGCTGTATAAATTCATAGCAGTGTATAATATAAACTTAGCCTCTGCAATTATGTGCCCAAATGCCAACTTTTCTTTTGTTATTCTGTGTTCCTGATTTCTTTGTCATTGAAATGAAGGTCACTATCATTGATCCTGCTGACATCGAGTCCCTAAAAGGTGCACTTGATCAAAATAATGTGGGTAAATAAGGCCATGAGTACTTTACTCTTTATGCTTTAGAATACTCCCAGTTGCAGTCAAGCTAACAAATGTGTTTTTATTAGGTAACTCTTTTCTTTACGGAATCTCCAACTAATCCATTCCTCCGATGTGTTGATATCGAGTTGGTTTCACAACTCTGCCACGACAAAGGAGCCTTGGTTTGTGTAGATGGTACCTTTGCCTCACCTGTGAATCAGAAGGCATTAACTCTGGGTGGTGATCTAGTTTTACATTCTGCTACAAAGTTTATTGCTGGGCACAATGATGTAAGCCATCAAAAATAGCTACACAATTATTTTCTCATTTCTTGTTTTTGCTTAACATATAAAAATGATTTAACCTTTTTTAGGTGCTTGGTGGTTGCATCAGTGGTTCTGAGGAACTTGTCTCCAAAATTCGCCAGTATCATCACGTTATCGGTGGTGTTCTTAATCCTGTAAGGGAATTTCCATTGGACTCTTAATTATTTGTATTTGTTACACACATGATGTCAGCTGTGAACTTCAGACTTTTAAGATTTACGAAAACATGGGCAAATTCTCCTATCCCTTTGTGTTCTCTTGATTCAAGTTGTGTGTGACAGTCCTCAGAGCAACATATTGATATCAACAAGTTTTTAATTTTAGCTGCGATGTGTCACTCTCTAGTTCCCTGCCAGTTGTGCATCGCCTGTTAAGAATGATTTGGGAGAAATATTGATCACTGATGATTTACATCAAACATGTGCAGATCATTAGCTATAGTATTATTACGTAAATCTTTATCTTTGCACTTAAATGGATTGGACATTTTGCAAAATTCATTTAACTAACTGGCAGAATCTTATTTCCAGAATGCTGCATATATGATTCTCCGAGGCATGAAGACGCTGCTGCATCTGCGCGTAGAGTACCAGAATAGTACAGCAATAAAGATGGCCCAATTTTTAGAGAAGCATCCCAAGGTACATGAAAAAAGCAACCTTGTGTTTTCTCCTTCTAGGGTTTTCGGGTAATTCTCTGCTGAAATATGAATTGTATTTCGATTTCACTCATGATTCAATGAGAAGCAGTTTTCTATGGCCGCTGATAACCACAATGGCAATTAAATTGGTCGATGTTGGTTTGTAAGACTTCATGTGAACCTTGTTCTAGGACATCATAATCACCAATGTCAATCATGTAACCGATGGTCAAGAATTTTGCAAATGTTCAATGTTCACCTAACAGTATTTTAATCCTTCAGTCTTCTTGCTCGGAGGAGGCCTACTATATTTTCGCTTATTCAATTCTCAGTTTTCCCTTGTACCCATCAGGTTGCGACTTGTAATTCTTACCATTTGGTGCCATCCGGTGATAACAATGAAGAAAGACTGGCATAACCTCCACAACTTGTCCATGAACCTACATGACCCCTTTCCTTGTTCCAAAATCACATTGCAGTTGGTCTCCTCAAGATGGTAATCACCAAGGATGCATGCATGACCTTGGGGAAAATTATATTGACACATGGATCTTACAACCTTCTAAGGGAGAGTCCTTGTGACTAGGAAAATGAAGGCTTGTGAGATACAGAGTGATTCTTTCCCAAGGTAAAGGGCATGTGCTTGGGTCTCATTTCAAATCTCTAGTCTCCTCGAGATGAATTCTTTACTCAATTGTTTCCGATCCACATTCTCCTCATTGTCTTCTTTCGCAGAATCTATAGAGATCTTTAATACTTTCCGAACTTGTCACCCTACAAATACTGCAGAAGTCATCTTTATAGCTAGATTTTTGGTGTATTGGCTTCTTTTATGACCTTACATACTGGAGTAGTGTTCTGAAATGGGCCATGTGGACTACATATGAGGTGGTAGCATACTATCTATCATATCTAGTGCTGGCACTATGCCATATCAGTTGCTCCAAGTGGCCAACCATGGAAGCTGATGAGTACCGTGTTCCATGTTGTCA